AGTAGGTTCATTTATTGTCCAGCAAGATTTCATTTTTGACGATAACCGCAGGGGTATTTTTTCCCAATCGTAGGGTTATTCAGAAGTGGTTACAATCTGGTTTAACTGCGGAATATTTAACATGTTTAAAGGCACTTAATAAGATGCAGAATTTCAAATTAAATAATCTCTGCATATAATGTGGAAATTTGAGTTTCACAATAACTCACAAATAATCGGAATTAATTTTGTACGCTTTAAAGCCTTCTATCATGACGATGAAGCTGGACAAAGTATGTCGCTGGAACACATGTGGCAATTTATTAAACTTAATTGCAGTTCCTTACAATTTTTGTCAACGAGTTGTTAGTACAATGTTTATAAAGTCGGGTGGCGTTATCATTCTCCGCTTTATTTCTGTAACCGAGCGATTTATTCCAGAAATTAACCTTCTGAAGTTGTTATCATTTTGCTTCCCAAAATTTGAGTTACCTGATGTAGCTATCAATTGCGGAGAACAAACTGATAACCGTCTTCCATTTATGGCTTTTCCGTGACGATATGCTGAAACTTGTAGCGCTATGGTGTGACTTCCAAAAGGAAGCACAAATTCAGGATGCAGCAGAAAGCTAAGCACCTGAAAGAGCTTTGATGAAGTTGTGGCAAGTCAGTGTAAAGATGTAGATAACTCGGAAACTCAAGAAGCAAAATACTTGCTACTGCAAAACACGGTTTCCCTGAAAATGCGTAAATTTCCAAAACATGTTGGGAAGACGCAAAGAATTTGTCTTATTCAACTTCGAGTTCGTACAACTCTAGTGAGTACGCAAGTGCAAGTCAGTCCTCTGTTGCCAAAGCACTTCGCCTCCATCATGTGCAATATAACTCAAAAAAGTTTCGATTATAGTTTATAAATAAATAGCGATCGCAGATACAAAAATCCATTTTGTTATTATCGGCGAAACAACGCAGCTTGCGTTTCCGGGTAAAAATCTCCGTTTACACATTTAAAGTTACTTTTGATGGTTAAAGAACCATTGAATTTGCGCTCGTGTCTACGCGATTCACTGAAATTTCGGTATTAGTTACGAGCAAAAACTACAGGCAAAACTAAGATTTTGTTTCCTTCTCTTCTGCCTCCTTATTCCATATCTGCATATAACGCCATTTATCGAGGCGTGGTCAACAGAAGTTTTTGCCCATCTTGAATCTTCCGGCGTGAGAAATTCTCAGAACTAAAATTCAAAAATAATTATGTTCATCCTATGGTCCCCATGGTTCTTTGGAACTAAAGTTGAATGCCAGGATTCTGGTCTCGCGCGATGTACTGGTGAGTCCTGTCATTTAGTGTCAAGCATAGCGGATACTATTTGGGAGTCACCGACAGAGATCAACAATAAATATAGTGCCCATGAATTTCAACTCTATTGAAAATATCATGTCCACGCCGTAAACGATTAGCACAATTTATATTTTTTTCACAAAACGCACGTCAATTATTTCCCTTGCGGGTCGCTGCCTGGGTCACCCGGATTGCTTGAGTAAGTTTGATAATGCGGTATTTGAGGAAAAACAGCTTGCAACAAGGATTGCACTGTGCGACGAGAACTGATTACTGGTGTAGAATTGTTTATTTCTCCCTCTTTGGAAGCGCGAGTTGATGTAATGTATGGCGGTATAAGTAGATATATTGGAACTAGCGCAAGTAATGATTTGAACGGATGTACCTGTGCTCACCGATATGGATGTAGGAAAAATCAAAAGCGGACACCCAAGTGATACTGAGGGAGTTGAATAAGGAAGGGCTCAATTGAACACATATTTTTGTTTGGTAAGCAATCCGACATATATGATGTTCAATGACCAACAATAAAAAGAAAATGCTAGCTTTTATTTTTCGAATTAAAAAAATCACAATCAGGTACTTGAGAAACCTTATACCCTCAAATCGGTAAGTTGCATTAACGTATTTCACCTATATGCTCGCACCAACGTCGTTTAGATAAAATTAAACCATCGGACGTTTTTGATCATTACGACTTGCCAACATTTTCCGCTCCTGCTGTAATATTTTTGTGGGTTCAACCTATTGTCCCTTGTGGCACATTCTTACAAAATGTTGGTTTAAAATAATGTTGAATACACTATCTGACACTTCGCATCCACAACAAAATGTTCATCATTGCCCTCATTTTCCCCGCAGAATGAAATGCGCTTACTTTGATGTAAAGTTTGAATACAACGCTAGAAAATAAATGGGATTTTTCAGGACGAAATATGCCAGTCGTTGCCATCGAGAGCTGTTAGCCGATAGTGTGTAAAAGAACAAATCATTCTTTGAAAATAATTGCCGAAAAATGCAATTAAGTCGGCCGTATATTGGCATTTACACAAAAGTTATGACAAACGACATTTTCCCCATAAAAAACATATATCTTTGTCGAGAAACTTCATGAAGATTAATTTTAAAAGAACCTAGGCGAGCTCTCTGCCAGGATACATGATTGCAGGAGAGTATTGTAGACGAGATGCAAAGTCTATCTTCTTTCATCTGAGACTAAATTCTCCATTCCTTCAAACCACGGAGATGACGTATATTCAGGAACTGGTCATAGAAGATCCAGCACAGTCTTCGGGACCATAAGATCGGTCTGTCGTATGTCGTAATTCCGTGCAAGATTTAGGCAAGCATGGCTTACTGTTGGCCTGACAAGGGAAGATAAATCTGTTACGGCTAGAGAAGCGTACGGAATATTTATCCTCGCTGTTCGTCTCTAATCCACTATTTAATGCATCATGTGGTTTGATAAAATTGTCTCAGCACCGAATACGCAGCAAAAGGGCCAATTTGTCATGACCAATTAGTCTCTATTCAGTCCAATAAATTCTGTGGGTCAAATTGCCAGTTGTCTATCAAAAGAACGGGCAATATGACAAGATTACTAATGTCATTTGATGGTTGTCGCCTCTGAGTTATATCGAGTCCGAGCGTATATTTACATAAGTATGCCCCTTCCCTGTCTCCTAGAAAGTGATTATCATAGAGCAATACTCTAAACAAACGTGGGCCTAAGGCAGAACAAATAAAGTAACGCTCATTACTGAACCTTGGGAGAGTCGGCACAAACTCACATGTATAGTGCGTCGCTCTGCATTGTGTGGGGCACCAGAATGTGTTTATTTACTTCGGTTGTGTACTACATTCACTCAGTTCCCCATTCAACCAAGTTGTCCGGATAAAAACTCAGGCAAGGGAATGAAGTTTGTCCAGTAAAGTAGTGCAAAAAATGTAAAGCAATGCAAGGCGAGAGAAAGGAAATAATCTAATTGCAAATCTTCAAAGTTTTTTATAAATATATAATTGCTTTAGAAAACCATTTATAATCGATTGTGCAACCTCAAATTTTGACAGCTTATTGAAGACCCTGCAACCAAATAGTTGAGGCCACTCATGTCAAACCGTTCTGCTCCGTCATGTCTCTATCAAATCTTGAATGGATTCTTGATAGATACTGAACTTGAAGAAGCACTTTCAAAACAAATGCATATAATAAAAATCCCCACATGCAATTTTGGAGGTGCACGTGGGGAACACCCTCACATTTTCAAATGCCGAAAAAATAACAGCAAAACTCAATTTTGAAAGATGCATTATACAATATATTTGACCAATCAATGAACTTGTCCGTAACAATGGGCCGTTGAAGGTTCGTCAAGTTGCAACCATGAAACTCTTCTTAACCGCTAGACCGACTTTTGCGAGAGAAAACTAGCTGGAAGGACACCTTTCCCTTTGCCGTTGACTAAGCACGCAAATCGGAACACACCATTTAGTCTTTGGCAATAACCCCTCTGGATTACAGTGACAGTAATCAACCGACACAACCGATTGGGTTGTGTGCTGTCACGTGCAAAAAGCATTTCAGCGGACGGAACCAGAGTTTTTGCCTCCTGAGAATACTCACATCTCTCTCAGTACCAGAGAGATTTTCGTTATAATTAATACCGTAGTGTCTTAAGGATGATCGGCGTACGTTGCGTCACATATTTCAAGAATACATTTTTTTCCGCCGGAAGCGGCATTCGCTATTTTGAATACCACTTCATGAATTGTGACAGACTTCGACATTAATTATTAATTATTATTATTAATTATTAAAAAAAGCAGTCTGATGGTATTATGACCGAGCGTAATGCGTAATCCAAAAATGATCTGATTTCGAGGTACATATATTGGTCACCCAAACTCTCAAATCTGTCTTCGGAAACCTCATGGTCCTCCAGGGAAAGCAGCCTTACAGAAATAAACCTTAGCGCACGTCTATTTTTATCATACGTATCGCAATAATTTTTCTAGAGGTGCCGAGATACATATATTTAGCGATTAGTTTCTGGGTGGAAGGCACTTCACACCAATATTAAAGAAAGTCCTCGATTGTCGCACGCGCCGTTATACCCTTTCTGCAATATTTTCGCTAATTGAAACCTTTTCTTGACTACATAAGGATCCGGTGGCGCAATTTAATATTTTCGTTCACCCTCGTTTGGAAAACTATGCGATAATAACTATTTTTTCTGAATACCGTCATTCGTCCAGGATTGGCTTATGTAATTGAAATTTCCGTATCTATCACGTAACGCTCTCACATACCCAAAGAAAAATCTCGACCACCGGAGACCATTTTCTAATTATTCATATGCCCAAAAACGGTGTTTGTAATGGAAACCGGTGTGACTTTGTTGCTACTGATAAGAAAGGCATCCGAGTGGTATGTTGTTTTCTCTTAAATTCACTTTCCGTCACTTAAAAATATAAATCTGTGGCGGAATTTGCGGAGTCGTTTTGCAGCATTTCCTTGAGTTTGAGCAACGGTCAATGAATATCCCGGAAAATTCAAATGGGCGCACTCAGGATAAACTGGGTGCTCATTTTTTTAAACCAGTTGCATATGCAAATTTCGCTTCCCTGTTTATTAATCTGTAGCTGGTCACTTGGTATTTTCTAGTAGATAAATCTACAGCGAAGGCCTTCTCTCATTGATTTGGTGCCCTCACCGCGATTGGGATGATGATCACGTGTCCACAAACTTTCAAGGATTAGATTGTTCATACCTTCCTTTGGACTTTGAGGAGGATGTAGAGGCTGCCGAAGTGGATACGGTCCGGGGCTATTTCCTGGCGCTGAATGCCTTCTTCAGGGGCCAGATATAGGCGGCACCTGATGCGGCGGAAGAGGTCACACGGAGATAAACCCGGCCGCAACCAAGGAAGTACTGGAAGCGGAATTTGACACGCCGACTTACTGCCAGGAAGCCATGAGCGGTTTAAAATGACCAGGATTGCCCCTGGATTCGACCCGACAGTGTTCTATGGCTACCTACTGCAATCGCTTACTAACGAGTTGCCGGGACTGGACGGAATGTCGCACCACCAGTTACTGTCTGAGCAGTTCATCGAAGGAGTGCAGCTGGCGCTTGATGCTCAGTTGCTTTTGGCGAGAGCGACAGGCCAGTTGATTGTGTAGGAGCTGGTGTGTCTGGCCCGGTAACCGCCCGAGGCACACTTGCTACGTTGCAGTCGCTGGAGGAAAGGGACGGTTCACCAGTGAGTTAACTGTAGACCAGAGAAGACTAGCCCGCTAAAGAGTAAAAGCCATGAAGGCGGAATCACGAAGGCACGCTCACTCCAGCCGGTGCTACATGTCCGGCAAGCATCGCCACCGTGAGAATCATTGTCCTCGTGGTCGATCTACGGTGAGTAATAAAATTTTAGAAAACTCCTCTTCTTCTGGGCGGGTCGCGAGCAGCGCACTGAAACTACCATACGGGCCGATATCGAAATATCCGGGAAGAGGGAGTTAGATTTGATTGATGCAGTAGCCAGCGTATCGCTGAGGCGGACAATCAACAAAGCTGAACGCAGACCATTCGCACTAGCCGTGAAAGCGGTGGGTGTAAATCGCTTGAAGATTGACGGATTGTTAATGCACTCGTTACACCTAGACAAAAATTCCGTGCTCCAGGCGTTCCTGATCAGTCTCGACATAGAAAGTAAAACATTGGGGTTTTTGTGTCCCAAGGGCCCAAAGCAGGGAAAGCTGGTGACAGGATATGGCACAATCAAGCTTGAAGGCTATAAAAGCGCTGCCGCGAGTGAGCTGCGTGTCGGAAAACTTCCGTGCTGTAACGTGCCATTTGTACTGTCCGCGGTTGAGGAATATTCCGAACTGTTCTCGGGCAATGAGGATCAGTTTGGCTTCTACTCATGGATTGAACATGAAATTTCTTTGTCATCAGAACGCTTGCTAACTCGCGGCCAACGTCTGCAGTGGCTTTATCTACTGGAGCAGTCCATAGGCAGATTCAAGAGATGTTGAGGAATGGCATAATTGAAGAAGCAAATGATGCGTACTGTTCCGCAATTGTGCGTATTTTCGGTGCTTGAGTGAACTGAACCTGAATAGAATTGTAGATATGCGTTCGGTTATCAAGATTTTCGATTCCCTCCGGCATTTCTGATATTTCATCATGTTCGACTTGCTTTTTTGATACTGGCAACCATCTATCCAGGCAGAATACCTCGAAAAATGGCGTTTACGTTTGAAAACAGCTAATAATAATTTAGAAGAATGTCGTATACTTTGTATAGGGCATATTTCACATTCCGCTGCTTGATACGTCTTTCAATTAGAGAGGTTAAAGGATGTTGCCGTGTACGTAGACGATTTCGTTGCGTAGTGCACTGGGGAACCAGAGCATGCAGTTAACTTGAAGGCTGTATTAGAGTGGATTCGGGAGGCAAGCCTGCGGATAAATAAAGCAGTGACACAGCCTACGGGGCGTTAGGTGACGCTGCTTTGGCAGTGATTATGTCAAGGAGAAGTTAGTTTCCTGCCAGAAAACAATTTGCAAAGCTCGGGAATTTGGTGTTTTCAATTCAAAGCGGTTTATACGGCAGTTTATGGAACGAGCAGTAGACGGTTTGTTTGAAATTACAACACGACCGCTGCACCACTGTAAAACTTGCTAGGGCATATCCGATAATTTGAATTGACGGGAGAAGCACATGAGAATATTGAGCGTGTCAAAGTGCGGATGATGAATTAGCAATTGACCCTCAAACTTCTCAGGTTTGAACGCTAGTGGTCGCGGTATCATAGCGATACTACAGCAGAAGAGTCGAGTTATCGAATATGCTAGTCATGTCCTGGAAAAAGCTGAAAACAAGGACTCGGCCAATTAGGAAGAATGTTTAGGGATCGTCCGGGCCCTGGATAAGTGGAGGTCATATCCTATTGGAAAACGATTTCATGTTTAAACCGATCACAAACTCCTTGATTTGATCAGGACCACCAGAGATATTCGAGGAAAGCTCGCTCTCTGAGCACTCCGGTTGCAAGAGTGCGACGTCACAATTCAGCACGTATCAGTGAAGGAGAACCACGTGGCTGATTGGCTGTCAAGTCCACGGGCTGACGATGAAGCCGCTAGGATCACGACTGTGGCCAATGGCCTCATCGTCGAACTGGATCCTGGAAGGTTGGGGCATCTCCAACGGCAGGATCCTTCGTCACGGAATGTTGTCGGTAGGCAGCTAGACTACATCATTACCATATTCTCTCTTGGAACATAGTTGCACTCATGCAGTTTTATCTCCAAGTGACCAATATTAAATTAGCTGTCCAGTAAGTAATTTCGCATAAGGATAAACTATTTTCATCCACCTTGGCGTGCCAAATCACAGATTCTAGCACAGTAAGAACGTGAGGTCAAAACGAATTCCTCCTTCCTTCTGGTGCAGGTTCAGTTTCACTATAATAAAAACCTCGTGCCACAACTTCGATATTAGCCACTGGTAAAAACATACGACTCTATCACATATATCACTTCTAAACGCAACTGCGTTGTTAATTTAGAGCATTTTGTCTTCAGACAGCCAGACATCGTGCACCCGGCCAATAAATCGTCCAAACAAAACGACTTCCATCTTTCGTTTTCTTTGGATTGTTTCGATTTGCAGCAGGCACCAATCGAAAATCGACAAACATTTGAAAGGATACCTTACGCTATCTTTCCTTGTATAGTTGAGGATATATTAGTCATTATTGACGTTAACGCATTTTCGCTCTATGCCAAGCAACTCTCTTCTGTTAATCAGGATGTCTAGGAAAAGGAACAGGACTTGTTCGTTAAAAAAACGCCGGAAGATTCATCCACGCAAAACAGCAGTGGAAGGTGAATGCAAAAAATGATATCAATGAAACAGGATTCATTCAGCTGTCTTTCCTCAAAGGCGGCAAATATACCCACTCGTGATGTGGCTGAAACGATGATCTTCAAACTACTGACGTCTAGATGATTACCATATAATTATACATTGAGTTTGACCAGTGCGGCTTTCCCTGGTGAGGTTGCAGTGCTTCCAAATACCTACACATTTAACAGCAAAATATCAGACACATGCGCCCAAAGTTCAAATTCTAAATCAGGTTTTTTCCCAGAAAAAGAGCAGGCTGAATTTTACTGGTTGAAGGTTTTCGTAGGATATTCGAATAGATCATTCAGAAGGTTATCCTTAGTTTTCTGCAACTGTTTGTTAGGTCCATTGTCTTTATTACAATATTTCTGTCTTGATTAAATTAACCACATCGCCAAGGTCACGCAGATAGGCCATACTTCATCCCAACGAGGACCCAATTGACTTGGATTGGCTTCACAGAAACACTTGATGAATCTTCGCACACCTTATTTAGAAAAAAATTTCACAAACATTTCATAATTTTTGATCAAATGTTTCCCTTGCTGGCGCTTGCTATCAATGAATTTAACAGGCGCAGTATGTCACTTGCTGAGGGAATACAATAAAAGTTCATCTGGATTAAACTGCCCGAAATTTGTTACTTTTTACTGATGGACAGCATGCGTTTCAACTATTGCTGATCAGTATAAACAGCACGTGCTTCGTTAGATTTTGATCACTGGACCAAAACCACAGGAAGCTATTTTTGAACGAATTCGATTCAACCTTCAGTGGTGAGAGGGCGTCTACAAACGCTCTGAAGGATTTTTACCCAGAGTGTCTCAATGAATCAACACGTAATACACATTGTTAAAGTTCACCTTTTATACGTGGAACATCACCCGAATAGTTAAAGTCTCCAAAAATATATTCCATATAAAATAAAATTTAGTTGTGATAACATCTCATGGCTAACCCTTTTCTGGACGTTGACACGGCTGTGAATATTAAGGAAACATATCACTTTTCCCAATCGTCGTGATTGCCAATTGCCGCTTTGGAAGTGAACTAAATAATAATATCACGAGGACAATTACGAGTAGATTGCTACTGCGCGACATGCCGATATTCTGGTTAGATGGCATTGTAAAGCTTGATTCACCAAATAAAATAGAGCGACTCCAGATCGGCAATATTGCTCCTAAACAAGAACAGTCTACCAAGTACCTAGATGATGATACATTCACTTATCACCGGGACGTCTTTTCCAAAACTACGTTGGTGAGCACCAATTTATCGGCTACCTTTTTGATGCTCATCGGTAAACGAACAAAATAATTTTGATACGTTATGCGTGTGCGCAATATTAATACATATTTCAAGGTGCGATAAGCTCTTGCTGAGGTTCTTTTCTTTCCACACCAAAACATTTATCAACAACATGCAGCTTGTTCAAGAGAATTTTGTGTTTAAGAATAGAATCCGTTTGTTGGCGGCCAAGTTTTCCTGAAACATGAAAAGTTGCCCACAAACCGAGATGAATTTTCTCAGCTAAGATGCTAAACGTGAGTTCACATAGAATTTTTTGTTTGCAATTTCTGTCTCCTGAAATTTTATGAAAGAGCACAGTGACAAAATCCACAAAATAAAAGCGTTTTTCATTCATTTATAAAGTTTATTCATAGTATACCGATTCGTAGGTGACTTGCATTATGCCTGTTAAACGTTATAACACACTGGGAGTGTGGTTAACAGGACCTTGTGGTCGTAGCACATTGTAAACATCGACGAGTCTTGCATACGTAAGTGAACAGAAAAAAAGAATTTTATAGCTCAATAATCCTATTAGTATAAGGGCAAACTGATACATGTACTGCATGGTAGTTAAGCATATGGTGTCTGTCATTTTAGTTGATTCATATGTAAGTATTGGTGATGTACTCGTCACGAAGAGACTGGACCTTACCGTGGTG